AGCGATTTGCATGCATTTCAGTGAATGTGGTGATGAAAACGATCAAACAATTTTACTTTGATCAAAAATTGACTTCACAGGCTTTGCCATGGATGGCGAGTTCGCAATTTTGGCCTTGACTAAAGTTAAAAGTGGTAAATTCATAAACTGATAAATAAGTACCTATTTGATGCATGCATTGGTACACTTTTTTTTAAGCCATCTCCACCTTCCGATTTAAACAAAATAGCCAATAAAATAAGAATTTAAGCTCAAATAAAAACCAATAAAGCCCTTGACATGCTACTATAAAAATATATATTTTTTTGTTATTTACTTTTAGGTTTTGAAGGAATTATGACCTTTTTCTTTGTCACAACCTTCTTTAATTTCACTGAAACATCAAATATTGTCAAATTCGATTAGGATCAGTCAAGTTGTTTGCATAAATTTTCATCCAATCAGAAAATGATATTTTCAAGTTCAAACTAACTGATTTTGCTTGGTGGAGAAGGTATTTTGCCTGGGGGCCGAGTCTTCTCTTTAAAGTCTGGAACACCATCACCATCGGAGTCCTCTTTATCATCAGGGATTCCATCACCGTCATCGTCGTCATCCATGTAATCTGGAATTCCATCGTTGTCGTCATCCGTATCGATCAAGTCGATAATACCTAAAATCGATTTAAGAATCATCTAAACTTTGCCATCGACGATTTTGAAAACTTGGCTTAAAAAAATAAATATACAGTTTGACCTTGGGAAAATTTTGAATTATTCAATCTAAAACAGTTACGAACCAATCAAATCACTTGACCAGTTGAAATGAATGTACATTTGCGCTTCTCCAGCCTTTGTCAGGTCAAAGACAAAGCCTGGAACCTCCAGCTCTTGATACTTGAAATCCGTGGAGGGCTATTCACGTTTATGTTTTTTTCCACAATTGCGTTACCTATGATTTTGTAAGTTACAGAACGAATTCCTGCACGATTCAAAAATGCTATCATAGTCATCACTAATATCTGGAACCTGGCGCCCTTGACTGCGTAGTAGATCCTAAAGTGTTCGACCTCACACCCATTGCCAAACTCACAGCGGTACTGGAAGCACTTAATGCCATAGGTGGATGCAAGTCTCTTTTAGATTAGCATCGTGCGTCTTTCAGTGATTTAGATTAATTAGCAAATAAGCCACGTAACTAGTCATTGAGGGAGCTTCGTTCGGTTCCACTTTCCCCGTTCAAAGATCTCCGGACACATTAGATCCACTTGCACGCACGGCTTCTATCTGTTACGAGCTCCCTCTTAGTCCAACCACACTTCCTTGCATCTTAACCGCTGTTATGCTATGGATTTTGGTTCGTAGGGAACAGAGCCTATTGAGTAGTGGTCAAGTAGTTCGAGTGAAACCTTGTTCTAGGAGTTAACACGCTGCCATAATGCGGTTTTAATAGTCCCGCTCAAGCTGTTGGGGTACACGTTGACAAGTTGTAATTAAAGCAAAAGAAAAAGATATGCCACTTGAAAAGTTTCATAAAATGACATTTTACGTTTAAAAGAAAATAAATTATTAATTAACTACCTCCACATGAATCAACTTGTCCTTAAATATATCGGCTCAGCGGTAATCGTTCTACCGTAGACAAACAACTAAAAGTAAGCATAAATTCCTCTCATTATTTGATGGCCAATAAGCCAATCAACTACAAGGCCGGACCCCAAAGAATTTGCCAAACCGTCATTTTGAGGAATTGAGGGATGTGCGATAGACTTACCTCCATGTGGTGCACCCCGGGGCAACGTATTCTTATACGGTATAAAAGCCTATAAACTAGCAGTTGATTTCTGACTTTAAACTACCCTGACCCCACTGCGTGTCATTCTCGACCACTTTCACAATACTCACCTCACCTTTTCTCTGCCTTCGTGTCTGTCTGTCTCTTTTATATCTTTGAATCACTCTTCTGTTCCCCCCCCCCTCCACTTCTTCTCACTTTGACGTTACTCCCCTCTGTGAAGCCCGAAGTCCGCAAAAGGGACAATGAGAAGTATCAAAACGCCTGCCATTTGATTTAAATAAATAAATCTATGAATCATTTTTCTGTCCCCTCTCGTTTTTTGTCACTTTGATGTTTCTTCTCCTCTCTATGAAGTCCGAATTCAGCTAAAAGGCTAGTGATAACTATCAAAACGCCTGCCATTTGCAATAACAAGATGTCATTCTTCACGCCCTAAAACCTGCACATTTTCAGAAAAAAGATAAGATCACAGAGCAAAACGACAACTTTTGTCCTACAGAGGAATGCATTCCCATGCAAAAAAACAGATCCGAAAATCAACGGAAGACAGCACTTACCATCACCATCAGAATCTTCCATCTCCTCGGTATCAGGAACGCGGTTCAAGTTTTCGTCTTCTTCCTCATCAGGAATCCCTTAAATTAGTAAAAAAAATCGATTATAACTCAGACGAGAGGCCATTTTATGCGGGGAAGAGTTAGTTTATAATGAAATTAGCAAAGGTTAAGTGGCTAGGTTAATTCAAACAAGGTCAATTGAAGTCGACATTCAAAAAAATTTTATTGAAATCGGCTAAAACATCGAGCAATGGAGATCACAGAATCACAGGAAGTCGGCATGGTGATATGGATATCATGTAGAAATGGAGACAAGGGCATATATATCGATTTCCTCTTCCCTTTTAAACTCAGGTTCCTACTTCTTCCCCCCCCCACACCCCCCC